TGCACACATGTTCCATCGATTTTCGCAGTAATGCGCATCGACATGTGACGAGTGCTGTAATTGTCGAGCATATTTTGGAAAAATTGGATAATCCGAACTAATCGTATGATCCGAGCACTATTGCACGTGACATGGAACGTGAGCTCGGTGTCCAAATAAGTTACAACAAGGCACGTAGGGGGAAGGTGGCCGCTTTATATGCTGCATGGGACACTGGAGTACAGTTTTCAGAAACTATCTTCATACTGTCACGTACTAGGTGAGAATAACCCAGGGACGGTAACCCACATCGAACTTGATTCGCGCGATAGATTCCATTACTTCTTTCTAGCTTTTGGTGCAAGCATTCGTGGTTACATGTAGTACTTGAGGCCCGTTGTTTGCGTTGACGGTAGTCACTTGAAAGGTCCATACAAGGATACACTTTTACTGGCAACTGCCCAAGATGCCAACAAACAGATTTATCCCTTAGAGTGGGGGATTGTGGATTCCGAAACTAACCGATCTTGGATGTGGTTTATGTCTAACTTGAAATATCTTATAGGAGACTCAGATGAACTTGTATTTGTTTCGGACGGGAAAAGAAGTATCGAAAGAGCTATTACTCACTTATTTCATTTGTCTCGTCATTGTTGTTGTGTGTGACACGTGGAGAAGAACCTAATTCAGTAGCACTTTAACGCAAGCTCAATATTCCTGTTCAAACGAGTTGCTACAACTTATCGGGTCGAAGAGTTCAAACATCTAATGGGACAGATTCGTAGGGTCAGTGAAAGATGTTACAGGTATTTAGAGAAAGCAGGTTTTTCATTCTGGTCACGAGCACTATTCGTGGGCGACTGATACAACATTATGACAAACAACAACGCGAAATCATTGAACTCAATGCTGAGACATACTCGTTCGTTGCCAATCACGTGTTTGGTCGAGCACATTCGTAAAACAATGCAGAGGTGGTTTTACGAACGTCGAAGCAATGCAACCACATGCAGTACTATATTATCGTCGAGGATGGAGAATGAGTTACAAACAACATTTGATGCTGGTACTAGGCTTCGAGCCCATGAGTTGACAAACAGCTTGACCCAGGTTGGAATATCCAACGATACAGAGATAGTGGACTTCTCCGATAACACGTGCACATGTCGTGAGTTTCAACTAAATCGTATGCCATATGCTCATGCAACTCGTGGTGCTATCCTAAGTGGTAAGTCATTATACGATCTATGCACTCCGTACTACACATTGGAATATTGGAGGGGTGCCTATATGGAAGTCATATATCCCGTTACACGGGAAGTGGATTGGGTTGTTCCAAATGAAATCCTAGGCACTCATATTTTGCCACCGACTGTACGTCGTCCTCCAGGTAGACCACCGATGCGACGTAAGCGAGCTAGATACGAGTCCACTACCCAACTGAGGAAATGCACTCGATATGGGAGACTTGGTCATAACCGGACCACAAGTTCGAACCCTATTGTATCACAAACCACTTGAAGAAGCGTGATGTGTAAAAGTGGTTGTCAAATGTAATCCCCAAAAAACTTAATTTAAATAAGCATTGTACATTCCCAACTTATTTTATGAATCTGTTATTATTATCGTATGCCAGTGCAAATTTGGTCGTTATGTTTCGCAAGCAAAGTACCGATCATTATAGTTCCATTATCACAAATGAGATGAATACTTTTTCTTACTATAAACTTAGCTGATCATAAAAGTTTCATTAGCTTCGACTGATAGTTTGTCGAAATGGAAAATTGATTTTCATGAGACCATACTAAACAAACAAAACACAAACATTACGTCTCGACAGTTCATGTCGTTCCCGACAGATAGTCTCTGTAATTCTCAACAGTTGGGAACAACAGCGGCTTGAAAATCTACACTACTGCGGCTGCCTATTATGGAGATGCAGTTTCTGCACATATCTAGAGAACGTGACCAAAATCATCCATACCACAAAATACTAAACATATTTTCTTACAAAAGGGCCATTTATTGCACACTTGCACTGCTTTTGACAATTTAAGAAGCTCCCCCACTTTCCCCATCAGACTCGTCTGAGCTAATGACAATTACTTCTGGAGGTGGAACATGAGCCACCCACTCATTCGAGTCAGACGGTGACTCGATCGAATCCCTGACCTAGAAGACTTGATCGAGAATGCTGTTCAGTGACTTAGATTCTGCACTTGGCACTTCATCGAACTCGGCACCGTGCTGTTCAACTCCTACATCCTCATCGTCTAACAACAAAACAATGGAAAATTTAGCGAATGAACCCAGTATCGGCGGATGCATATTGGAGTTGAATGTTTCATTGCTGGAGGTGGATGAACCAATTATCTCGTATCAACTACTTGTTTCAAAATGGAAGTCTCACAACAGCTTTCATGACATCTGAAATGTAATTTGATAGACAATGCTTGTAATGTATTCAATATGTAAATATAAATGTATTGGAAATACTTGTTACTTTCAAAAAATCAGAAACGTATAATATCTACAATAGCCTGTTACACTAAGACACTTGTATTAGACAATCCCACCATTTTCAATTTTCGAAAAGCAAGGAACTTCTAAAATTTAATGGCCTACCTAGTTGAACTGTCGGGCCCGATAAATGTTTTATTCCTTCTCGACAGTTGACGAAAACGTGCATTGCATTAAAGATCGTATAATTTTGAATTTTGTAAACTACAAAATAAATGAAGAAGAATAAACAAAAGTAGCTCTTTTTTACCACGATGTTGTTCAACTACGTAGAAAGTGTCACAATGATCTGTAGGTAAGTTCAAAGTGGCACAATACCTTGGCTACAAAATTGCTTGTAAGCAACAATGGTCTCCTGGCATTTATAATCATCCTGAAAGGAGGAAGTCATTACTTCATTTATCTACCCAACCACCAAGTCCAATCTCTAAGTAAATTTGAAAAGCAATTGGTGTGATGGTTGATATAATAAGTGTACCTTTATCCCCTATTGTACCATCATTACTATGACATTGGCAGAGACTAGAATACTTCAATGATGTGTAAAATTCATGTTATCTGGTTTTCTGCAACAAATTACTTCTCATTTGCCAGCTTCTTAGTTGCACCATGGCTGTAATGGTACAGTTTCTCACAAAACACAGGCATCATGTTAACCCACATAATAACATACGAACGACAAGGGAATATACATAAACTCATTTGTCAATTAGTTGTACCATGGAAGTAATGACTTTGGCACTTTTAATGGGTCCTCATCTTAATCCAATCTATAGTTTACTAATGCACTACGACATTCAAGCTCGCTATCTACTCGTAAATGGATATTCGTAAAACGTACACATACATAATTTTTTGCGCAATACAATGTACGAGCGTTGACAAAAATTGAACGAAGGCACGAAGTACCGTAAGTACGATTGACATAACATACTAAAGCCGGATAACTAATACAAGTTGTAACACTATAATAATTTCAGCAACGGTAAACGATGACAAGGCATTCACCACGGGAATTGCAAAATGTGACGAATGCATCTAAGTGTCACCAAGCTTGCCAACTACCCTGACTGATATGTAAATCACAAAAATGAATGAAAAAGGCACTAATATAAAGCGAATTAACAAACATCCTTCACCACCTAAATTACGTCAAAAAAATTTTCTTGCCCAACGACCCCAAAAGCCCTTTATCAGATGTCCATACGAGATTCTACCCCAAGGATACGAAAAGAACAAGTCTAGATCGTCGACAATCGACAACGTCTCCATATCGATACCAACGTTGTTATCCGGAGCATTGAAGACTCCTTTGATGATCAAAGCGAGGCCAAGCTTGTACCGATCGGCTCGAGGCGTTGACGATCGAAGAAATGTCTGCTCGAGTTGGGCGCACGAAATCTTGTCCACATGTTTAAAGTGTATGTCCTTTAGTCTCCTCTTGTCAAGAACTCGGTCCATGACATTGTCATCCGGGAGAAGACCACACCCTAATCCAGTGACAAGGGCATACTCTTGAATTCCGAACCTAGCGGGTGGCATTGCAAATTAAACCACAGTTCGTGCCGCTTATTTGTTTGTATGCAGCAGAATACGAGTTGTTGGATTAATTGGGCAGAGAACTGGATATCCGGAACCTCGGACAAGAACCCAAGGCATGAGTTGCGAAACTCTGCCTGCTGTCACTCGTCAAAATGTTCAACGACTATTTTTATATACCGCATATTGCTTCTCTGCGATACGTGGCCTCGCAAGGGTGCATTCTCTGGAACAAGAGGCTCGAAATCCATGTCTACAAAGACAAAATAAGAAATAAATGCGTCAGACCAGAATATAAACTTCCTACCAACATAGGACCAAAAACCACAAGTATGTTGTGAAGTGTCTTTCAATAGTTCCTCCCGAATGCAACGAGTACCACCCACAAGGTCAATGTGTGTAAGTGAAAGCAAGGTTATGACACAAGTAACAGAAATATTGAAACAGAAGATATGCCCACATCAAACATGATTTCCACCAAATGCATAGGAGTACCAACCATAGTACTTCAATAAAATAACCCTAATTCAGCCCATTGAACTTCAGAAATTGTTGCATGCAAAAAATAAAAGGAATACTGATATCTGAACGCATATTACATAGAAATATCATTTTCTACTGGTAGGCAGGGCTAGGCAGGTAAGAACTGAACTGTCGGTCCCGACATTTTATCCGTTGACGGTTCATCTGTCGAGAATTACAGAGGCTAACTATCGGGAACGACAGTTGAGAAACAACTATGGATAGATGAACTGTCGGGAAATCTAGTTTTGAATATGTTCCTTGTTATTAACATATTTTGATCATACAAAACAAAAAATAACTGCAACTGCAAAGAAAAGACCAATGTTTGAACCAATGGAATTAGTTGTTTACGGCTAATATGTAAAAATTTAAAACCCTGTGCTTGTCCCATTTACGCACTATAACCCCCCTCAAACTTCCTGAAGTTGCAAATGTTTCCTTAAAAACCCATACAATTTGTAATGCATATTTTTAAACCACAAGCTTATTCCACATTAAATCTAACAAGCAAATTATTTTATTGTACAAAATTAGTAAGAACAGTTGCTGGTCAATAAAGTACTTGTTACTAACCCAAAACATATAGTAGAGAATTCCGAATCCTAGGGAGAATGTACATACAGCACTCTCATATTTATTTCCCCACTAATTCATTTTACATTACAAAACCATAAATAAAGAAAACATAAAAATGTATAAGTAACATGTAATTGACAATTAAAAGAGAAAAAAGAAAAACTTTTAGGTTCATAACATTAAATGAAGGGAACATTTGATAAGTACTTTCGAGTTCCTTAAACCTCACTCATCAGCCACATTGATAAACTAACTATAAATAATGACTGATCCATATGAGGCATAGCAAATCATCTCTATCAATCACTCATGTACACATGGTAGTTTGTTTTCAATCCAGATGACAAATTATGTACCTGGAAAAATGAGTTTTCTATTCTTTCTGTTTCTCATACTTATATACTTGTAATTATTTCATAAACAAGCCACAACAGTACGAAAAATTTGTTATAACTGAAAAGTCACACAATGCACATCAGTAGGAAAATAATTATTATTGTTTATAACTGAAACATATTATCTAAAACAACATAATTAAGCTGTAAGAGTTCTGATCCTTTAGTGGACTAGTTTTATGACTCTACATAACTACAATTATTTTTGTGTCTAAAATATGTTTGAGGAGAAACAAAATGGAAGGAAATACAATAAGAACTCCCAAATTAACAAGCAAGAGCATCAGAAAAGTACCATCTTTTGTCGTAAATAGTTCAAAGAAAAAGTACTCGTTTATATACGGAAAATAAGAAAGAAGCAAGCACCAGCATATGATGAATGTTCTTAGCAGCAAAACATTAGCAACACAAAAACTTTCTACTATACTACATTATTCTTGTTGTCTCTACAAATATAGTCTACTGAGGGGGAAAATTGTCTGAAAATGCAAGGATCAACATGTTTTCCGTAATTACCATTTAATAAATCTTCCATAATAGCCTTTTTTTTCCTTGTCATATCTGAAATTTGTTAGTTTCACAATTTGAATATGATAGAATGAAAAATTCTTTAGATTTTGTTTATATATGCCTTAATATGATGTCATGAATTCGTAGATGAAACAAAATCCCTTCCAAATAAATAAGTACAGAAAACATTACTCAAATACATCATAATCATTTCAAAATGAGTTTATATATCATCTTTTAACTTAATTTTATAGAGGAAATTAGAATTTCAAGACAATTCAAATTCTGCCAAGCAGTATTATTTCTGCAAATTTCATGTACTTTACAAATTTGATTGATGCATGAACCATCATCAACATGCATCTCTTGCACATATAAGTCAATTTAAGGCCATATGAAGCAAATTTGTCCCTCAACTTGTTAAGTTCATGTGTCTTTTCTAAGGTTATCGCATTAGTCCTTCTTGTTTCAAAAAATTTAGGAAGGGGTTCACATAGTGACATAGTCCCACTATCAGAGCTATAGAAGATCGATAGTTTACTTTTTATTCCGAATATGAAATTAAAATTCAAATGGAAAATAAAAGGAATGTAAATAGTCTTTCTTTTTCTGGTGTTGTTTGAATATTTTATATTTAATTAAATATAATAAATAACAAGCATTTTTTCTTTTTCGCACCTGAAGACAGGGAATAAAAAAAAATAAAAATTGAACATAGTTCTTCCCCAATCAAGTTGTTAACATAAGACAAATAAGACTCTTTCACGATACTTTATGCCATAGTTAATTTCCCATACAGATAAGGTTAGACAATGAAAAGTTTACATAATTTTCATATTGCTCTTTGGAGCTAATAATACTGTAGTTTTCCAATTCTTCCTCCCTCACTCGTTT